GTAAGCCGTGTTGATAAACTGTTATTAAAATCTCGAAAGGCTAATAATGCAACCTACGACGAAAGCTTTCTTTCTCCACGGATATACTATTCAATGCGAATCCAAAACTATTAGTGGTCGGATAAGTTTTGCCAAGAATTATATCGAAGTGAAGAGAAACAGTGATTCTTCATTGAGTCCTACACTTTCCGATTCTTATCTCCTCAGAAATTAGTACTCTTAGTCGGTCCCTATCACTGCGCTTACCCTTCTTGTCGAGTGGAACATATCAAACAGTCGAAGATAGATCGTAAATAGCAAAGGCGTTGGATTTTATTGGTGAGTGGATCTTGTTTTCTAGGGTCCCTTCCATCGTCAGTGTTCATATGCTGCCTCCTCCACTCCATTGGATAACTCCGTCCCTTGTGGGCGGTGTCTGGTTCTTCCACCCATCACAAGTGTTTCCATCCTGTTTTCTGTAATCCAGTTACACAGGGACAGGAGTTATGAATTTTTGTTCAAATCCCGCGGTCGCGGGCAGAGCCCGGTCCCGCCATCCTCCATAGTTGTTCCCACCATGTTTCCTGTAATTCTACCAAGTTTGAAGCCCTAGGGTCAAATTAACAATTTTCGCGCAAGCCCCGCCCCCCGTGGGTGAAGTCCGGTCCTGCTTCTAGTGTCCACATCCTCCCGCATGTACTTTTTTAAAATTTGAAATTTCTAGGTCCACGGGAACAGGAGTTATGAATTTCCGCTCAAGCCCCACCCATTGTGGGCGGAGCCTGGTTTTGCTCCCTCTAGAGTGTTCTCATCCCACCGCCTGCACTACTCCCAACTTGAACTATCTAGGTCCACGGGGAAAGGAGTTATTGATTCCCGGTCGGACACACACACAATAACCCACAGACATTGGTGCGTTATATTACAAAAGTCATCCCAAGTGGGATTAGCGGAATTCTGGGACCACACCATTGCAAGGCTCATTGAAGTATCGCGAGAGTATGGGAGCACAGATGACATCGTGCTTATAGCAAAGGGGCTCGAATGGCTGCTTTCATAGTCCGCCGGCCGGCCGGCGTGCCTGCCGAGGTAGTGCTAGGAGGGGGGAGGTAGGCAGAAGGGTTCTTTCGACGCGGTCGCGTGGCGCTAAAGCTCCTTCGAAGGGCTGTAAACGAAGAAAAACATCAAAACAATTTGCCTTTGCCCTACTTCAGTCAGCATTGGCTACTGTCGTAGCCTTTGCCCTACTGCATTGCCGTAACTTGAAAATCTCAACAATTCCATTTTTTCCAATATACCTTGTTTGATTTTGTTTAATCTTCTCTGATAGGCGGTTGTGTTCTGAATCTCCTCCAGAATATGAAATCCTCGCTACGGGAAACTTTCACAATGTAGAGAAACTGAGGCATCAAACCTAAACTGTTCCACGTCCACTATATTTGCTTACAAAGCTCTTTTTTGCTTGTGTTGGAATGGAAGACGCGTTGGAACCAATCCATTTCCAGGTATTTGTGTGCAAGGAAGAAAAAATATCCAAGAGATGTTTGAACGAAACTACTCCATCTGATCTCGGTGAAGTGAAATTCGAAAATCTGGAGGAATACGGTATTGCATTTCTGGTTTTATAAAATATCTACACCAAATTAACTGTATGCCAAGGAAGCCTGTTATTTCTTGGCGAAATTTCGCTCTATTACTTTTGTTTGTGAATCAGTGTCTGTTACCGGAGAATCTATCTTCTAGCCTTCTTCGAATCGGATCCCCTCTTTCCCAGTTTTGAACTTGTTCTTTGACGAAAGGGATAACAGCCTTTTTTTTCTCATTAATATCCACGATGTTCTCTCGTCTCATTTTTCTTTATCCCTCTCTTTCTCTGTATTTCTTGCTTGCCCAATCTTATCCGTCCTTCCCTCCTTCCACACTTCTCGTCTTTACCTGACCCTGCATGCTACATCGATATTTCTCCCACCCTTCTTTCTGTTTTTGATCATCTCACTCGTTTTTGGAAACGCTCCACCTTTGCAGTGTGCTTTTCCATTCCACCTACCTCCGAAAGAAAACTTTACTAACAAACGTAGTCTTGCCTTTTCATCCCTCTGTAGATCTCTTCCTGTCTCTGCATCCCTTGTTCTGTGTCTGGATCCTTCGTCCCTGAGAGAACATCTACATTTCCTCTAGAATTCACTATCTTCGTGCAGCCGAACAGCCAACTCGTTCAAATCTCTTCTCTCGCTGCAGTGGAGGTTCTACACAGTGCGTTTCATAATTATAAGGTCACCCTCGATTTTTGCGTTTCTGGAGAAAGCAGCCGGAATGGAATTTTTGGTAAACACTGGAAGATTCCTCATCACAATGTACCTCCTTATTCAAATTTTGGTCGCAATATCCTTCACCTCAAATTTTTTATGAAT